TAATAAAGATATAAAAAACAGCATCCTTCTTTGTAAGAGTTAGGCAATGAAAATTTAGATGACAGAGAAAACTGCTTGGTTGATACCCTCGCCCCTGTGTGTCCTGGCTATACCACTCTAATAGTGTATGATGATCTTTAAGCATGTTCCTGTTTCTGACCCCTCCAAGGCTAAACAGAAAGAAAGGGATGCCTCAGAACCAGCTGCTTCTGAGCCACTGTAGCCTCACTACTCTCTCCCTGTCCCTGCAGTTCCCTCTTGGTGCAGTCAGTGTCAAAGAAACAGGCCACTGAAAAATAAATGTCCACATCCCTAGCTGGCTACACACATCACATCAACCCCAAAAGGTTGAAGAACCATCTAAAGTAATTCAGATGCTCTATGAAGAAATTCACTTGAACACTTATTAATGTCAAGACTGCAAACATTACAACAGTGCATTAGTGATACAAGTTGTAAAATACATGTCCATTCCTTTGGGGTTTGCGTATGATGGTTCTGCATCAGTCACTGCAGGTAGATTGAGCAAGCTTGTTTTTTGTATGTGTGTTTTTAACATGCATTCAACTAGATATAATTCAGAATAGATTAATACTCCCTTCTTATCATTACCATTAAATAAAAAATTGCCAGGCAGACCACAAAACAGGATTTGCTTTAAGACCAACCCACAGAGTTAGCTGGAGACTAACGGTGGCGCTGGAACCTGCTGGGCTGGGACGTAGTCATGTTTAGCTAAGTGTCGAGAGCATTAAGAAGAAAGTCCTGATTGGAGGCACAAGGCCTGCAGCACCAGCTGTGGAACCTCAATGATGTCACTGCACAGCTCCATCCTCAAACATTTATCTGCAGGGTAATCACCACTGAGGGGGTACATAGCTGTAAGTGGGTGTTCCTGGGGCCCGGTATGTGGGCACAGTGACCGGGTGAGGGGCAACCGGAGTTGGGGAGTGAGCAGTCAACAGGGTTCCTGCTGACATGGCCATGGTGGTCCCAGCAACCATGCCCATGGTGACACCATTGCCCCAGGAGGAGGGATAGGAGCAGGGTACACTGTTGCAGGCATGCCACTGGGCTGCACCACTGTGGTGTGGTGGATGACGTGGGGGGGGTGCTGCATACAGTGGCTGTGTGTAGTATGTGCCCTGCTGAGCATACGGGCTCTGCTGGGGGTAGGCACTTCGCACAGGGTACACGGCGGTCTGGTAGGGGTTGGGGGAAGAGGAGTAGGGCGGCACAGCTCCTCTGGTAGGAGAGCAGGATACTTTGTAAGGTGTACCTGGAGTATAACCTGTTTGGAAGGTAGGATTTGCTCCAGGGTACATGTTAGGAGAATATGCAGGAGCTGCTGCAGCATAGCCCATGGGGAAACCAGCTGGATAACCAATTCTTTTGGCATTTGCATAGGGAACCCCAGAAGATCCAGGGCTATAGTAGACAGGATTCATGATTTCAAGAACGCGCCGCCAAGGCGGCCTGGGCTCTGGCGGGGGTGCGCGGCCCGGCGGGCTCGGCCTTGGGAGGAAGCGAGCGGCGGGCGCGGGGGCGCTCCGAGGCGGGCCTGTGTCCCTCGGCCCGCGTCCCCGCCGCCTCTGCCTCCGCCTCCGGGGCTCCCGCTGCTCCCCTCAGCCCGGCCCGCCTCTCCGCCATCCGCGCTCCGCTGCCCGTTTTTTTTTTTTTTTCTTTTTACAGTTATTTGAACCTTAGGCCTTGTGCATGCCAAACAAGAACAGATAATCCTCACTTAACAATATAAGCATTTAATGACTGCTTGGACTTACAATCAAGGGGAGCTGTTGGGACTTATGACTCGTATGGCTTTTCTTAGGGGGGTACAGTACACCTTGTTTACATAGAACTTTGGCAGATTGTACTATACAGTGCAGTACTACAGTTTTATATTCTGTTATACATTACAGTACTGCATATGAGAACTATGCAAATAAACGATTCGATAGCACACATTTAGGGCTATGGAGATAGCTCAGTGGCCTAAGCACCTTCCTAGGCAAGTGCAAGGACCTGGGTTCAATCGCCAACCCTGGTACCACATGCTGAATGGGTCCCACCCTGGGGGCACCAAGCCAGCCACCAAGACCGGGGGGTGGGGTGGGGTGGTGCATGTCTATAATCCCAGCACTGGGGAGGCTGAAACAGGAAGATCACTATGAGTCTGAGCTGCATAGCGAGACCCTGTACAAAATACATTAAAAAAAAAAAAAAAGATGGCACACATCTGCAATCTCAGTACTCATGAAGCTGAGTCAGGAGGATCACACTGAGTTCAAGGTCAGCCTGGGCTACACAGTGAGTTCTGCTGCCCGGCATGAGGGCTGGTTACACTGATATGTGCACTTAGTGACAAGTTGCCACCTTATGATTTGGGCACTTGTGTGAATGAATGCATGCTTTTCTAAAATGTTTGTAATGCTAAATCTGGTAACCCTGCCTAGGAGGGTACAATTGCCTCGTGAAGAGCTACTACTTTTGGTTAAATAAAAGCAGGATTGCTCCCACCTGGCTGACCATCATCACTGCGTCCACAGATCCAAGGGAAATGGCAGAAAGGGACTCAAACATTTCCCTGTACAATCTCTCTCTCTTTCTTTCTTTCTTTCTTTCTTTCTTTCTTTCTTTCTTTCTTTCTTTCTTTCTTTTTTTCTTTCTTTCTTTTGTTCGTTCGTTTGTTTTGATTTTGGTTTTGGTTTTTTGAGATAGAGTTTTCCTATGCAGTTCAGGCTGGCCTTGAACCCATGGTAATCCTCCTGCCTCAGCCTCTTAAGTGCTGGGATTACAGCTGTACACCATCACATCCAGCTAGAAATATTTTATTTTATTTATTTATTTGTTTGTATTTTTAGGGAAGGATCTACAGGGTATTCAGGGTCTCACTACTAGATAGGACTTGTAGTGATCTGCCTGTTTACAGCCTCCCAAGAGCTGGGATTACAGGCTCACGCCACCACGCCCAGTCTCAATCACTGTCTCAGCGCACCCTGGGGGTGGGGCCAGCACAGCAGCCCTGTGATCAAACCCGGCCCTTGTGCCTGCTTGCAGGGGCTTTAATCAGCTGAGCTATTTGGCCAGCCCTAGAGATATTTTAGAAGAGATTTAGATTCCTTATTGCTCTCTATGACCCCATAACAGTAGTAGTAGGGATTCTAATAATGGTTCTGGATAGGTACTGAGCATGCTCTGGAGGCTATGGGGTTATTCTAGAATAGACCTTTACATCAATGACTGAAATCTTTGAGTTCTCACAACTATTTAACGTGGCAGCTTCATGAATATCCCCATCTTACAGATGAGGAAACTGAGGCCCAGAGCACAGAAATTTTGTGTTCAGCGCCATGGGACGGGCAGGTGGTGGGACTGGGTCAACACCGAGAGCCAGCACCTGCCTCAAGCTCACACTCTTGACATCCGCACCCCAAGTGGACCCTAACTTTTGTCCTGCCAACCCTCCCCTGCCTTCAAGCCTGATTGACCTTACTCTTATAGAGGAAGTCTTCCTCCCTCGTGGTCACGTTCAACGAGAAGAAGGTGGAATCCCCCAAGGTGGTGGGAGCGGTCATCTCGATCCTGGGGAGACTCAAAGAGAAATTTCACTTAAAACCAGAGCGAGCCTTATTATTGCTGTCCGATGCCTCTTTTGGCCTTCTGTGGATGACTGTGAAATATTCACACCCGCAGTCCTTCTTGACGGTGCGAGGCCCATTACTAAAAGTATGTGTGTGTGTGGATGGGTGGGGGGTAGATTACAAACAATACTCAGGATTTCCAAGGAGCTTCGTTTTTCAAGTCCATTCACCAATACAACGGACCCCTGAAATTCACAGAGATTCCGTTCCTTACAGCACCTGCCAATTGTGAAAAGCGTGAATTTCAGATATGGTCAGAAAAATGCCTGTAAGGGCCTATAGTCATAGCTTAAACCCTAAATATGCTTTGTCTCCACAGTTACATAATTTAATAAAATACTGCATTAATAGCCTTAGAAGGTGCAGGGTGATTTGGCAGCATCTTAGGGCGTTAAGGACAAGAAGGAGAACACTGGAGACAGCCAGGCAGCACATCAACCTGTTACGATGCGGGAATGTTGGCGCATCTGTCCGTTATAGGGCAGCAGCCAATCAGCAGCAAGGAAAACTGAACAACGCTCTCTGATTGGTGACTTGCAAACCTGGGAGGGGGAGCTGCGGAGGACGCTTAGTTTCCAAGAAATTGCTTGGGTTTCTACAAACAGATTCTAAAGACAAATCCGCCAAAGTCTGAAGCTTGGATGGATGGATGGATGGATGGATGGATGGATGGCTAACTCCAAACTGTGACTTTGCAGAGGTGTATTCTGTATTCATCCAATCCCTCCCGTGCTTCATACACAATATGTCTAATTTGATCTAGAAACCGTGTGAGGTAAGCTACCACTGCTATTTTGGTGATGAAAGCAAGTTCCTAAGGCGACATGAAGCCCTAAGTGCACCTGGTGGAACGTAGCCCAGGCTGTCTACTTCCCGTGCTAGGGTCTTTTCTTCACCCTGCAACAATGCCTGAAAAGGTATTTTTACTTTCAAAAGTTTTAAAAATGGATGGAAGGAAGGAAGAAGAGAAGAGAAGAGAAGAGAAGAGAAGAGAAGAGAAGAGAAGAGAAGAGAAGAGAAGAGAAGAAAGAAGGGCTATATAGCTCAGGGGCGCAGTGCCTGCCTGGCAAGCATAAGGTCCCGAGTTTGACTCCTGGTACACTCCCCATCCCCACATCCTCCATAAAAGGAGGTGCAGTTAATGCTTAAATTTGTTAGGGAGATAGCTCAGTGGCTCAAGTGCCTGCCTGGCAAGTGCAAGGTCCTGAGTTCGATTCCCAGTACCTTCCCCCCCACAAAAAGAGAAAATTAACCACGCTTAGCTAGCAGTTGGTGCCATGTGCCCTAGTTGCCATGTGCCCTTGGGTTAAGAGGAGCAATTCACTGGCACAGTCTATGTGACAAGGCCTTGAAATATAAACATCGTTTGAGGGCAAGAAGAGGAAGAACTGGCTGGGAGATAGCTCAGGGCCGGGGAGATAGCTCAGGGCCAGGGAGATGGCTCAGTAGAATAAGCGCTTCCCTGGCAAGCACAAGGGCCTGAGTTCAATCCCCAGTTCCTCCAAAAACAAAACAAAACAAAACAAAAAAAACCAAAAAAAGGAA